GGCGCCGTGCCTGGGGCAAGCGAGGGCAGAGCGGGGCCCCGCGGCAGCGACGGCGGCGGGGCGGAGCCCTCGCCTCAACCGCCGCGGCAGCCCTGGCAGCTGCCCCGGCAGCCATCTCCCTCCTCTGAGCAGCAGCAGGATGCCCAGGTGGGTAAGCAGCAGCGCGGGGCGCCTGCGAGCAGCGCTGCCCTGCAACGCATCGCCGCATCCGTCCGGCAGAAGCCGGCGACTGCTTCGGCCGCCCGAGCAGCAGCTGAGGGTGCGTGCCAGCCGGCGTCTGGTGGCGGCTCTGCCGCTGCGGCAGCAGCGGGGCCGCAGCCGGTGCAGCCGCCAGCCGTAGAGCAGATGCTGCGTGGGATTCATTTGGATGGAGAGGAGCCCCAGCCGCCAGGCAGCTGAGCAGAAGCCAGCATGGCGCAGCAAAGCTCACGGCAGCGGCAGCGGTGGCTGCGGAGCGGGGGAGCCTGGGGGGGCATACCCGCCGCCCTTCAGCGATCCGGGGATTGCAGGAAAGCTACAGCATTTTTGCCAATTCATGCAAGGGGTTCCAATTTGCTAGCAACCGCTTCATTGCACAGGAAAATGTAAGCGGGGGAAAAGAATGAGAAGCAAGATTCCGATCAGACAGCTGCATCATGTGGGACACGCATGGAGTAGGCCTGCTGACAGTGTGAACACGCCTATACAAGGTTCATCATGCCCGCTTCCGCCGCCTTTTCACCGCCGGCAGGCCCTGCTTTGTGCCAGGTTGCTTCGTTAGGGCGGACCCCCAGCCCCCGCTTTATGCCGTCCTGTCCATCCCCCTGAGCGGAGCCACCGCCTCCTTGTCAAAGCCAGAGATGTGGAAGTTGAGGCTCCGCTGAGGGGGCTGGACAGAACGGCTCGAAGCGGGGGCTGGGGGTCAAGCAAGCTAGCACAAAGCAGGGCCTCACGGCGGTGAGCGACAGGACAGGCAGGCATGGTGGCAATTCTCTGGGCGTGCTCACACCGCCAAGCAGGTACCAATGCATGCCTGTCGCGCTTCATGCAGCTGTGTGATCGGAACGCCATGAGAAAAACAGAACGCGTGCGCCGCGCTTGGCTGTGCATCACCGCCGTATGCGCACTCCACGATCCCCCTGAGATAGAGTGGGCTGCATGCTGCCGCTGCTGCCGCGCTGGTTCATGCTGGCCCGGTGCTGCGCCTGCAGGGAGCGGCGGGCCCGCATCAGCAGCTGGCGTCGAAGAGGCGGGTCTAGACGGGTTGGGCAGGTAGAGGTGAAGGTGACCCCAAGGTGCGCCGCCACAGCTGCACGCACCTTGAGCGCCTCTATCTCATGCCGCTTCTCAGCCAGCGAGGGCTTGTCCCGCTTCCTGCAGGGGAGGGACAATCACGGCCAGAGGTGTTGCAGGTGAAGAGCGGTGGCGGCAGTGGTGACGGGGGCGGCGGGGCGGCAGGCGGCGATGCAGTGCCCAGGCCAATCCCAGCGCACTTGAGCCCTAGCGCCTCCTGCACCGGCGGAAGCTTCTTCAGCGCGAAATGGAATAGCAGGAGCCAGCCTGCGGGAGTTGGGCGGGTCGGGGTTTCGTTCAGGAGACAAATCGCAAGCGTGGGCGGACCATACAACCCTAGAGACACCCACATGCGGTGGCAGCCGTCGCCAGCAGCGCCACGGTACCCAGCACCATGGCAAACGATGCTAGGCCCTCGGCCACTGCCCCTCGCGGCATAGCTGTGCCGCTGATGCCGTGCGGATTGCTAGCAAGTGTCGAAGCACGCGACGGAGCGCCCCCAGCTTGGGTTTCACAAACAGCTGGAGCCGTCCTCGCTGGCGTCACTGTTGGCGGCGAATGGCGGCTAGATCCCCCCACCAATCCGCGCTCTTAGCCCCGGAACTGTAGGTTGAAAGGCGGCCTGCAATTATGAAATGTATCTTCAACACATAATGGAGGTCTGCATGTCTGGCATGTCTAAGAACAGGCACGGTGAAGGCGCTTGGCGGCCTCACGTGGGCAGCAAGGTGCCTGCACAGAGATGGGCCTGATTTAAAAGAGGGAGTGCACGTCATCCGTGGAAAAGTTATGAACGAAGAAATTCATGCAGCAGCTCGTTAATCTGAAGCAAGCGCCGTGAGGAGGTCGAGGCCAGGCGGGGCTGCGGGATAGTGCCGCCTGCCTCCCGCCACAGTTCGTTGCAGGCAACAGTCATCCTGAGGTGCCATGCGATGTACTGCCTGGATCCAAAACTGGGGGTCAACGGCATCTGAGGAAAAGAAAGAAAGGCAGGCGGCCTTGTCAGCCATCGCCTGCTCTGCACGTGTAGGAGGTCACTCTGCTGCTTTGTTTCTGACTGCCTGCCACAACTCGCCATGGCCTCCCGCAGTTCCCTGGTGGTGTGCCTGCTGCTGGCCCTGGCTGCCACGCTCTGCCACGGCCGCCAGCTGCTCCAGGTGGGCCGTAGAGTGTGGTCCAGGTGACGCTGAGGCCTTGGGAGGAGGCTGCTGAGCCTGGGAGCTGGGTTGGGGCGTCCAAGCGCTCGCCGCCGCGGACCCCCACACCGCTCCTGTCCAGCTTAGGGCACCCCAAGCCGCCTGGGAGCTACTAGCACACAGTAGGGTGCAGCAGGGCTGCAGGCGCCGCCTGCAAAGGTACTGCCACCAACTCTGCCCGCCTCGCCGCGCGTCGCCCGCCGCGTGGTTTGCCGCTGTGCAGACCGACCTCGAGGACCCAGCCTCCTGGATCGACCCCAGCGGCACTCCCCCAGAGGCAAGCCGGCTGTCTGCCACGCTGGCATTGGGCTCGACGGGGCTCCCTGCACCGGTGAAACTTGACACAAGTCCCTCCTTCACGCGCCGGGCGGCGCCGCTGCTGCTGTGCCCCGCCTGCAGTGCACCGGCTCCCTCTTTGCCGGCAACCAATGGGCCGGCGATGAGATTGAGTGCCACGTGTGCAACAACGACTGGCAGCTGAAGGTCTGGTCGGTCGGGGGGTGCATTGCCGGGGGGGCGCCAAGGCATGCGCCTGCCAGCGGCTCGCCTCTCACCGCGCACGCACCGTACCCATCGGAGCGACGACGGACGTTCTCATTCGGCGCTGCACCTCCCACTGCTGCGCCTCGCGCTGCCCGCAGTGCGACCTTGACACAGACATTGCCGGGGACGACTCGGTGAGCGGCGCCCGCCACGCTTTCCACCCAGAGCGGCACGGGGGCGCCAGGGCTGCAGCTGGGCGCCAGGGCTGCAGCTAGGCCCTGTGTCCCCCCCTGCCCTGCCCATTCCCTCTCCTGCTGCACCTTGCTCGCACCCCGGCTGCGGCAGCAAGCCTCACCGCCCGCGCCGCCGATGCTGCCGCGTGCCGCCCCTGCCTCTGCCGCCGCCTCTGCCGCCGCCTCCTGCCGCAGGCCAAGTGCAAGTTTGACCGCGCGGGGCTGGCCCAGGCCGTCAGCAACGACCAGGAGTTTGACTGCGTGCTGGACAACTCGAAGAAGCCGCCGGTGAGCTGAGCTGGTGCCAGGCTGGCACGACGGCACCTCCCGCACACTGCGGCACGCATGCCCAGGCGGAGATCTGTGGCCTGGCTGGCGCCTGGCCCTGCGTGCCTGCTACCAAGGTGTCAGTGTGCATAGCCGGTGCCAACCATTGGAGGCGCTGGCTGCTCACAACCCTGCCCCGCTGTGGGCGCCTCTCCTTGGCTGCAGCTGCAGTGCGACTGGCCCAAGCTCCAGCGCGACCTGCCCGGCTGCGCCTAGGAGCCGGTCAGGCGCATCCTGGCGGTGAGCGCTGCTGCCAGCTCCTGCCGCCGTGCCTCTGCTGCTGCGCCTGCGGTCCTGTGCGCCCGCCGGTGGCGCATGGTGCAGCCGGGCGGCTTCTCGCCCTGCTGTGCCGCCTGCCCCCAACTTCTCCGCCGCTGCTTGCACATGTGGCAACTGTGTGCAGACCTGGAATCCTGTGGAGTGAGCGGCAGCAAGCTCAGCTGGGCATGAAAGTGGATGCCCTGATGCAATGAACCCTGGCGTTGCTCAGCGCTGGCTGGTGTTGTTTAGCGTTTTCCTCAAGCAGGCCACTGCTGTTTGTTCTGTGTCTCCCTTACACGCCGCTCAAATGAATGTGCACAGGGCAGGCGCGTCCCGCCGGAACGGTGACGGATTGTAATGAAGTTGTCACATGTGATCTTGAGCGCCAGGTAGCAGGCACGAATACCTCAGGTTGTTGCATGCCGTGGGGGCCTGCGACCTCAAAACCCAACACCTTTCAGTCGTTCCTCAGCGTGAAAGGCACAGATACAATGGCAGGCTCTCGAACCGTGGCCTGGGCCGTCTGCCTGCTGCTGGCCGCCACAGTCCAAGGCCGCACCTTACTCCAGGTCGAACGGGAGCTGCACAGGCCAGGGCATGCAGGCCAGGGAGGAGCACAGCCAGCGACCTGCCGACAGGGCCAAGCCAGGCAGGCTGCTCATGCCACGCCGCCTGCCGCTGCGCCGACCGCCGCCGGGGTGTGCCGCCGCCTGCCCGGTGCAGGCAGAGGACCCCGCCTCCTGGATCGATCCCAGCGGCGTGCCCCAGGAGGCGAGCAGCGGCTGCGTGCCACGGACGGCTGCTGCCAGCCTGCTGCCTGCCTGCCTGACTCCAGCCTGCTGAGCAGGAACTAGCTGGCAGCTACCTGGTCTCAACCGACTCGGATGCAGCGATGTGTGAGGCCCGCTTGCCCGCCGCCCGCCTGCGACTGCTCGCAGTGCTCGCCCTCGACGTCTGCCGGCAATGAGTGGGAGGGGGATGAGATCACTTGCACCGTATGCGACGCCACCTACAGGCTGAGGGTCTGTCGCCGCCTGGCACTGGGTACCGGGCGATGTGCCATGCACATGCTGCCGCCACGTAAAGAGCATCTCAGACTGCTACTTCAACCTGATGCACAAGCCTCAGCCTCAGGGGCTGCCTGTGACCACCGCTGGCGGGCCGCTTTCCCCTCCCGTGTCCCTATGCCTGCAGTGCGAGCTGGACACGGATGTGGCTGGCGATGATGAGGTGCGCTGGAACTGCGGTGCACTGCGGAGAGTTGGAGGTCGCCAGCAGGGCTGGTGCCTGGACGGACACCCGGGCGTTCATGCGGGCCGGCGCGCCTGTCCCGCTGTCCCGCTGCCCTGCCGTGCCCCCGCAGGCCAAGTGCCAGTTCGGGCCGGTGGCGGGCGCCGCCGGCGCCGAGAGCACGGCGCCGGTCTGGTTTGAGTGCCGCCGCATCCTCGGCCAGACCCCTCCGGTGAGGCGCTCTGCGCAGATGCTGGTTGTCCTGCGCCGTCTCAAGTAGTTCAAGGCTGGCCTGCGCGATGGCACCGGCTGTACCGACATCCCCCTGCCACCGTGGCGTGCAGCAGCAGTGCGATTGGACCGCTCTGGAGAGCAGCCTGCCCGAGTGCGCCGTGGAGCCGGTCAGGCGCATCATGGCGGTGGGTTGCGGCGGCGGCTGCCCTGTCGGCGTTTGCAGTGGACTGATCGATTGCGGAACTCCCTTGCGTGTTGGGCGTCCCCGAAGAGAAGGCTGCTGCCTGCTGTCTGCGCAGACCTGGATCCCGATTGAGTGAGAGGCGGCGGCGGGCATGCACATGTGCAAATACTTATGGCGCCAGCGCCCACCTTGGTGAATGGGGCCCTTGGCCCTCTTCGCCCATCCACCTGTGTGCATCAGCAAGCTTTGCACAGCTCCTGTGGTGCTCCTTGCAAAAATGGTATAGGACATTAGTAATCATTACTAGCCTACAAAGCTTCATTCAGCACACAGACCGGCCGCCTCTTGCTCGAGGGCGGCCCACTTTGGCCTGGGCAGCCCGGGCCGCCCTCCCCCCCCCGGGCGCATGTTCGGTGTTGGAGGGGTGTGCCCAGCGATAGGGGGCCCCTGAAGGCATGCGCCGAGGCCGGGAAGCGTGGTTCGGCGCTGCTGCACGCTTGGCGATTTGAACAGAACCACGTGCCGCCGAGCTGCGGCCGCAGTTTCCGGCCCACGGTCTACGGTCGCAAGCCACGGGACTCGGCGGCACGGCGTTTGGCCCCAAGCTTGCTGCCGCCGCCGCCGCCGCCGTGCCCGGGGGGCAGCGCGGCGGCGGCGGCACGCTGCGACGCCCCCGTGCTGCCGAGCTGCGGCCGTAGTTTCCTGCCAGAAGGCCACAGCCACGGGACTCGGCGGCACGGCGTTTCGGTCCACGGCTTGCTGCCGCCGCCGTCGCAGGGGTGCTGCCTGCGGCGGCGGCGGCACGGCGTTTGGGTCCACGGCTTGCTGCCGCTGCCGCCGCCGCAGGGGTGCTGCCTGCGGCGGCGGCGGTAGCGCACGTGGCAACCCCCCGCGTTTCCTTGCCTCCCATCCACCGGACCCCGTCCTGCGCTTCACTTTGTTTAGGGAGGGGCTGCTCACTGCTCATTGCTCATTGCTCATCGCACACTGCTCAACGCTCATTGCCCTATATCCCACCCAGCCGCAGGACTCCACTGCCGCCCGCGCCCCGCCCCATCTGGCCGCTTGCGCGCCCCATCCCCCCTCGATGGGGCCCACCCACACCGGGGCCTCGCCCCCTCCCGCCCACTGCTTTCTCAACGGCCCCGAGCCGGGGCTGCCCTCATTGCATACATAGTGCGCCTTTCCCTGCTTTTCTAGTGACCTAGCGTTCCGCACTGCCGTTTGGCCAGCCCATGCTCCCGTACCGTTGCGTTTCTCCCCAATGCGCCATGCCACTTTGCCAGTCATACACACGTTTCGATGCGTGCCCTGTCAGCTGCTTGCGTTGCATGTCGCCTTGCTCCACCCCTGTTTTATTGCTTTCTCTGCTTTCGCCCGGTTCCCGTCCCGTTTCGGCGGGGAGTCTATGTTGCAAGCTAGTTCTTGCTTTACCAGACTTTAAGCCCACACAAGCACAAGCAAGCCAAGTGCAGCCAGACTGAAGGCGACGTAGACCCAACTTGATAATCGCGCGGCGCCCACCCGTCGGCTCTCGCGCTGCGCATTCAAGCGAATGCACTGAGTCACACAGCCCCTGCGCGCTTGGGGTAAACTAGCTCTCACTTCCGACAGGCAATGCTGCGGGTTGCGGCCCGGCAGCTCGCAGTAGCTCGCCCAGCCACCTCTCTCGCACGCCCGCGCTCATCCCGTCGCCAGGCCTGCTCCGCGACCATGATGGTGCGCCGCTGCCCACGCCCGCCGCCGCCGCCGCCATGCACGCCGCTGCCGCTGCCGACGCTGGCTGCCCCGCCCCCCCTCGCTTTGCCGCAGGTGTCTCCGCCGGAGCTGGCGGCGCGGCGTGCGGGCATCAGCCTGCACGAGGCCTTTGCGGTGGACCAGGTCAACTTGGTGGAGCGGCTGGGGCAGGAGGTCTTCCTCTCGCTGTCCCGAGAGTTCTACGACAGAGTCTATGCAGACCCAGACCCATCTTTTCAGTGAGTTTAAGCTTTATGATTTGGCCAACCAATGGATGATTGGGAGGAGGGCTGGCTCCCCAGGGCCGGAGGCATCAGGGGGGCCTGCGCGGCGGCCGCACGCCCCAGGCAGGCTGCCGGCATGCCGTCACGCCGCATGCCTCCACGCCACCCTCCCCTGCAGCGCCGTGTTTGCGCACTCCCCCAAGGAGACCGCCATACGCAACAACTTCGAGTTTCTTGTGCAGCGCTTTGGGGGCCCGCCGCTCTACTCGCAGCGGAAGGGTGAGGATGGCGCTGGATGCCGGCTGGCTCCGGCAGCTCACGGGCGGCGGAGCAGCGGCAGGCTTGGGCCTGGAGGGTTTGGGTGGTGGCCGTGGGCCTGGGACGGTAGGGGCCAGGTAGCGCTGCCAGCTGCTGCCGCGTGCGCCGCCGCCTGCGGCCCGGCAGACCGCCAAGCAGACGCGCCTGCCCGGCGCCGTGTTCCTGCCGCAGGCCACCCCGCCCTCCCTCGGCGCCATGCCCCACACGACTGCTCCGAGGCGACGGCGGAGCGCTGGATGATGCACATGGATGCAGGTGGGCGGCCCCCTAGCCACTGGATAGTGCGTTGGAGCAAACCCCATGACTGGAGGCATGCCAGCTGGCTGGCCAGAGAGGAAGAGACAGAGAGGCCTGGCGTGGCCCACCCGCCCGCCTGCTGTGTCCCACCGAGTGCCAGCTGCCTGGCTGCTGCAGCCTGCCCGCCTGCCTGCTGCCCGCGCTGCTGCCCCGCCCGCCAACCAACACGCGCCCCCACTGCTTCCCTGCGGCTCCCTAGTGCAGCGCTGGCGGCGGTACCAGAGGTGGATGCCGACTCCCGCCAGCGGCTGCACGCCTACTTCAGGCACACATGGTGCGCCGCCGCCGCACGTCGCTGCGCATGATGCGTGTCTGTGTGCGTGGGGCGGGCGGAGGCTGCGCTGCGCTGCCTTGATGGGAAGGGCCGGCTGCAGCTGCCAGGCAGCTTCTGTGGCGCTTCCCCGAGCCTGCCTGTCGCCGCCGCAGCCGCAGCCGTGCTTGTGACCGGCCCGCTCTGCACATGCCCTTCTGGCTGCCCCCGGCCGGCTTCCCTGCAGCTTCTTCCTGGTGGTGGCGCAGGAGATGCGGCAGAGCATGGAGCGCAGCGCTGCGGCCCAGCAGCAGCGCGCGGCTGCCGCAGCAGCACCGGCTGCCCCAGCCGCAGCGGCCGCCGCGGCGGCAGGGCCGGGGCAGCAGCAGCGGCAGCAGGTGGTGCCGTCTGGCTGCCCGATGCATGCCCAGGCTGCGCCGCCGGCTGCCGGCCAGGCCTGAGGGAGCTCAGCATGCCACTGAGAGACTGTGACACAGCTACATGTGCCGAGTGAGGGGATGCAAGCAACACCGGTGTAACACTGCTCCGCACAACACCATGAACTTATTGTCAGATCCCATGACTGCGTCATCGCAGCAGCGCAAGCCGTGAACTTGCAGCATGGGAGGGCCTAGCCAGCAGGCCGAGGAGCGCCTTCCGAGCCGGCCTCCTGCTGCTGCCGCAGCAGCAGGCGGCACGCCGCTCGGTGGCCCGCCCGCCAGTCTGCGTGGCTGCACGCCTCGCTGCAGTACCGCACCACGCCGCACCCGCCGCAGCGCCGCCCCCGCAGCGCCGCCTCGCTGGGACCGGACAGGTTGGTGCACCGCGGGTTGGCGCAGCTGCGCAGCGCCAGGGCTCGGGCTCGCTGCACCGCAACCTCAGGCGTCATGGGGGCCTCTGGCAGGGGCATGCAGCTGTCGCTGTCGGCATAGGCCAGCAGGAGGCGTGCCAGCTCAGCGCGGCCCATGCGCTCGGGGTCGCACCGGCGCAGGGCGGCCACGGCGGTCGTCTCCGCTGCAGCCCCCTGCTCCTGCTCCTGCTGCTGCTCCTGCTGCCGGCTGAGCGGCGCAGGTCGCTCGCCGATGCCGCCACCGCCGCCGCCGCCGCCGCTCTCCTTCACGCAGGCCGCCAGCTGCACGAACACCGCCTGCAGCATATCGCTGGTCGTCTGCAGGCGCAGGGCTCACAAGGCAGGCATGTTTCCAGGGGGGCAGCCTCTTGCACGGGGCTTCCCCGCGCAGCCCTGCCCTAGGGTCGGCGTGCACCGCCACGTCAGCAGCCGCTCCCTGCCAAACCTGGTACATATCGGGATCAGCGACGGGGTAGGCGCGGTCGATCTCCGCCGGCGGCTTGGCGCCCAGCTGGCACAGCAGGCGCAGCAGCGAGCGCCGCTGGAGCAGCAGGGGCGCCAGGTGCGGCCACGTGCCCAGCAGCTGCCCTATTGAGATGACGGCCCGGGTGGCACACTGGCACGGGGAGAGGCGAGGCTGCGGAGAAGAGCAGGGAAGGGCGCGCGCCAGTGGCAGCGGTTCCATGCGTGAGCTCCAGCGCAGCCGGCGGCGCGCAGCGCAGGCAGGGCGACAGCGGCTGCTCTCCTGCGCAGCCGCGGGCTCACCAAGCACAGGATGCCCTCTGCCGCCGCCAGCAGCGCCAGGGGGCCGGCATGGTTGGCCAAGAGCAGGTCGGCGCGGGCGGGGCTGGACAGCAAACATCTGAGCATCGTGAAGTGTTGGGAAACGTTGACATTAATCTCCGGCAGCCCTGGTTGTGCGTCCAGCAGCCCTGGGTGTGCTGCCAGGGCCTCCAGGTAACACACAGCCAGGCACTGCAGCCGCCTGCAGGTAGCGGCCAGCAGCGCGTGGGAGATGGGCGGGCACTCCAGCGGTACGCCCGACAGGAATGGAAGCCAGCAAGGGCAAACCCCTTACCTAGCTGTTGTGGACCACCTGGTCGCCTCCGACGGAGGCACCGCCAGCACGCTCAGCCTGTGCACGCAGCTGGGCACAGGCGCCAGGAAGACGCCGTGCAGAGGAGTAAGGACTGCATGCTTGAGAGGTGGAAGGACGGAGAGGCCGGGAGGTGTGCTGCTGGTTGCGGCACCGCCCGCCGCGGCCGACGTGCCCCACTCAAGCTTGCATGCGGCCATGGCGAGATGGAATGCCGCCGGCATGGCTGCCTCTTCTGCTGGGATGTCTGCCGCCGCTGGATTTGCGCAGGCACTCGTTTGGACCAGCACAAAGGCCAACGTTCTGGCAGTGAACATGCTGACGTCAGCGACCAGAAAATGCGGCGCAGTCGGCGTTGCTGTCGAGCGGACCAGGCGTGGCAAAGTGCCGGTGGAGGCAGCTGCGGCAGCGAGGGACGGGGCAGCCAAGGGTCAGCGGATGGAAGCAGAAGCAGCGCAGTCGCAGGCGCACTGCTGATCTGCCGCAGCCGCATGGGCGCTGCACACATGCAATCCCCCACTCCCCCTCCCTCCCTGCTGCCAATGCAGATGCAGGCGGCAGTTGCAGCTCACTTCAGGCCCTTCGCCAGATCGAGCATAAAGTCTTGGAACCCAGGCTGGTAGGTGGTCCACAGCAGCTGCGCCGCAGCCTGCAGCTCCGCCGAGCCCGCGGGCGAGGCCCCGGGCGCGGCCGCCGCCGCGCAGGCCAGCAGGCGCAGGACGTCTTGCAGCGCGCCGCCGCCCAGCTGGCGCACCGCGGCGGCGGCCATACGCAGCTGGGCCTGGCGGGCCGCCTCTGCCGAGGCCTGCTCGGCGCCTACGTCTTGCAGGAGGATGGCCAGAGTGTCGATCGCCACGATGACCAGCTGCGTGCCCTCGGCGGGCGGCATGGCCGGGACCGCCTCCGGCAGGAGGCGCAGCAGGCCGGCTGTCGCGCGCAGCGCCGCGTCCCAGGCGTCCCGCTGCTGCCGCGTGCGGCGCAGGCAGGGCAGGCCCAGCAGGCCCAGGCACAGCCTGTACCTGGCGGGCGCGCCCTGCACGTCTGCGCGGCCCGCGGCCGCCAAGCAGTCTGTCAGCAGCTGGGCGAGCTTCGCCTGCAGGGCCGCCTCCGAGGACTGCACCGCCTCCCACGCCTGGGTCTCGGGCTGCAGCACTTCGCCCCAGGAGTAGAAGAGCACGAGCGGAAGATTGTCATCTGCAGGAAGGCAGGACAGGGAGGCGTGTAGGCCCGGCGGCTTAGAGTGTGCGGGACGCAGCCTCGTGCTGGCCGCACCCGGCCTTGCTGTAGCCATGTCGTACTGTAGCATCATCTGCCGCCAGATTCACCACGGCATCGCAGCAGCACTCGAAATGGTTGACAAAGGGGTCCAGGTTGCCCCGCGTCGCCAGGTCGCACCCCACTAAGGCCACATGCATCAGCGCGGGAAGCGTGTGCAGCGGCGTGATGCCCGCCGCCCCCAGCCGCAGCGCGTCCGCCTCCGACAGCCGCACCCTGCCGCCATCCACGGCGCGCAGCAGCACGGTGAGCACCGTCGCCGCCGAGGCGCATGCCAGGAGGCTTGTTTTGGTGGGGGCCGCCAGCGGCCCACAGGTGGCGGCCAAGTGGACGGCGGCAGGGAGCGCAGCCGCCAGCGCGGTGCTGAAGTGGGACAGCGGACCGATCAAGGCGGACAGCGCGCTGCAGGGCACACGAGAGGGGCTGTACGTGGAGGAAACCCGTCCTCGCGGGCGGCTGCATCGTCGCTGGGCACTCGCAGGTGCCTGCGCGCTCACCTGGCTGCTGCCGTCGGCCACTCCTCGTTGCCCCGCAATTCATCCATCAATTCACAGGCAGCTTGCCACAGCCGCAACGCTTGCTCAAGACTGTCGGGCGGGGAGCGCAGGAGGGGCTGCACCCTCCTGGCATACTGGACCACACGCGACATGGCGACAAATGACGGGCCCAGTTGTGCTGGTGGCTGGCATTTGATGCCCGGCGCCTGGCTGGCGGCGGCGCCGCATGCCTAGCGCGGCCCATGCACCAGTTCTGTGGTTTACACAGAGGATGTGGGGATCACAGCACACAAGTCGGGTCCAGCGACAGAAATGAGCGAGAACAGGTTGAACAGAAGAGGAAAAAAACGCAGGAATCACAGCCCAGTTGGGCCGGCCAAGGCGCCGCAGCCGCCGCCTGGAGCCGCTCGCTCTGGGGCGCCATGCCGGAGCGCCTCACTGCAGCTGCATGTCGTGAATGGCAGCCAGCACCTTGCGGGAGGCGCCATATATCTGGAGGCACCGGTCCTTCGCCTCACACGCTCGGGAGCCCCACTGCGCTTGCGGGAGGCCGGCGGGGCAAAAGGGGCCGGTCAGCGGTGCAACGGTGGGCAGTGGGAGGTCGGCAGCAGCCCAGCACCTGTGCTGCTCCATCCAGGCAGCCACCCCTTGCAGGCACGCTAGCCCGCTCCGCGCGATTGGACGCCTTTGCTCAGGGGCGGCACCGCAAGCAAGCCGCTGTGCCAGGCCACGAGGCGGCCCCGGCAGGCTCACCGGCACGCCAGGCGGCCACCAGTCCGGCTGCTTATTGGCCTTGTACAAGTTCTGTGTGGTGGACGGCAGCTGCCCCGCCGCCTTCCGCTCGTCGTCCACACACTCCTTCACCATGCTCCTCACCAGCTTCTGCAGCGGCAGCGGCGGCGGCGGGACAGCGTGTTCACAGGTTGGCGGCGGTATGCTAAGCAAGCGCGGCGCAGAGGGGAGCACATAGGTGCACACGTGTTGTTGTCCGGCTGGCTCCTCAGAAGGGTACCAAATGCACGCGGAGATCCAAAGCCCCCGGCTGTAAGGCCCCAGCCTGGGCACCCCGGGCAGCTCAGCGGGCCAAGCGGCGCACCTGCAAGTTCTTGATGTGCGTGTGCGCCTCTGCCGGCTGCTGCCAGGCGAAGCTGCGCGCGGCGCGAGCTGCAGCATCGGCCGCCGCCGTCTCCGCGGCCGCGGCTGCCTCCATCACATCCAGGGCCGCCAGCGCGGCGTTGGGCTGGGAGGCGGGGGCCGCGGCCGGCGCGGCGGCTTCCTCCAGCTGCGCCGGCGCTGGCGCCGGCTCGTGCTGCTGGGCGGCGGCGGGCTGCGGGGTGGGCTGCGCCCCGGGAGCGTCCCTGGCAGCTGCCGCCGGCGCCTCTGCTTCGTCGAGCGGCAGCGTGACCTCGCTGCTGCCATCCATGCGCTGCAGGTCTGCCGCCGCGCCCGGGGCTGCTGCGATGCCTGCCTCAGGCACGGGTGCAGCAGCCGCTGTGGGCACCGCTCCGGCGGTGGCGGCGGGTGCCACCTGCGCCGCTCTGCGTGCGCTGCCCGTCACCGCGCCCAGCAGCTGCGTCAGCATGGCCGGGGCTTTGTGGAAGCGGGCGATGACCTCCTGCAGGGGCCAGCGCAGTAAGCACGGGTGTGGGTCAGCCACGCATCAGGAGCATAGCATGCAGGACGCGAGGTACGGCAGCTAGCCTTGGCACGCGCCGGGACTCCCGCGAGGCGGGACAGCAGCAATAGGCGGGCGGGCAGCGCGCCATGCCAGGGAACGCCGCCGCGGCTCACCCGGTCGGCGCTGCTCTGCGGCTGGCTGCCGCCAGACGCACCCTCCTCCCCCTCCGCCTCCTCTGCCTCCTCCTGAGAGCCGCTGCCGCCCTCAGAGCCCTCCTCCTCTTCTTCGCTGCTGCTGCTGGCTTCCTCGGAGCTGCTGCCGCTCTCCTCCTCCTCGGAGCTCGAGCTGCCGCCGCTCGCGGCAGCCGCGCCTGCCGCTGCCACTGCCAGAGCCTCCGCCTTGCTGCCATCCTCCCCATCTTCCCCATCCTCCTCTTCGCTGCTGCTGCTGTCGCTGCCGCTGCCGCTGGCCTCAGGCGAAGCTGCGGCGGCATGGGCGGCTGCGGGGGCGGGGGCCTCCCTCCCGACTACCCTAGGGGCTGCACCACCGGCAGATGCGCTGCCTGCAGACTCGCCCTCAGGCTGGGTGGCGGCTGCGCGCTCCGGGTGCGCAGAAGCCGACGTGTCTGCAGCCTGCTGCGGCGTCTCCTCTTCGTCCTCCTCCTCACTGCTGCTGCTGCTGCTGCCGCTCGCGCCATCCCTGCTTTCCTCCTCGCTGCTGCTGTCGCTCCCTCCACCATGGCCACCGGCTGCACCGCCGCCGGGCACCGAAGCCTCCTCTGGGCCCGTCTGGGCGGCATCTGCTGCTGCAGGAGGGACGGGTGCTGGCCCTGCGGGAGACCGCAGGCCATCCTGCAGCAGGCACAGGGCGGCGCCCCACGGGTCAGCACAGAGAAGCCAGTCAGTACACTGAAGCCCAGGCTGCCAAGCACACGCCTAGCTAGCAGGCACGGCAGGCGGGCTCGAGGCACAGCCCACCGTGCGGCACCCAGCCGGCTGCCAGCAAGCACACCGCCAGCGGCAAGCGGCAGGCAGGCGGGGCCTCACCAGCGGCGTACTCAGCACCAGCTGGCGGCGCACATCTGAGGTGGCAAGCTCGCTGGCGACCGTCTCCTGGCTGTCTTTGGGCTCGCTGCTGCTCCCTCCCTCCCCATCCTCCTCCTCCTCCTCCTCGCTGCTGCTGCTGCTCTCCTCCTTTTCGGCAGGCTGTGGGGCGGCTGCCTCCGTCGCATCTGCCGGCTTGGCTGCAGCGGCAGTGGCGGCGGAAGGGCCCTGCCGTCCATTGTGCTTGTCCTCCTCCTCCTCCTCCTCGCTGCTGCTGCAGCCGCTATCTTTCCCATCTTTCTCGTCCGAGCTACTGCTGCTGTCCTCGCTGCCGCTTTCGCTGCTGCTGCTGCTGGCGCCGCCGCCGGCCGCCGCGACCGCCGGGGCCGCTGGCGGCTGGGGCTGCTTTTGCGCGGCAGGGGGCGGCGCGCCGCCTCCCTCGTCTCCATCCTCCTCTTCGCTGCTGCTGCTGTCGCCACTGCTGCTGTCGTCACTGCTGCTGTCCTCCTCCTCCTCCTCGTCACTGCTGCTGCTGCTGCTGCTGCTGTCCTCAGCAGGTTTCTGCGTTTTACCCGCTGCCGCCGCGGTTGGTGCAGCAGCGGCTTTCACCTGCTTTGCCTCTTCCTCCTCCTCCTCCTCCTCCTCCTCGCTGCTGCTGCTGCTCTCTTCACTAGTGCCCTCCTTGGGCGCTGGCGCTGGCGCGGGCACAGCAGCTGCGGCAGCCGGCTCCTCCTCCTCCTCATCATCGTCGCTACTGCTGCTGCTATTGTGTTCGCTACTGCTGCTGTCACTGCTGCTGCTGCTATGCTCACTGCCTGCTGATGTTGGTGCGGTGGCCGCAGCGGCCACCACTGCCGCTGCTGGCGGTGGAAGCTGCTGCTCCTGCTGCTGCTCCTCCTCCTCCTCCTGCGCCTCACTTCTGCTGGCGCTGTCGTCACTACTGCTACTGCTGCTATCCTCCTCATCACCGCTACTGCTGCTGTCCTCGGTCTCCTCGCTGCTGCTGCTGCTGGCAGTGGCGCCGCAAGCGGCGGCCTGCTGCCTGGCAGCCACCCGCACGCTGCGCTCGCCTGAGGAGCGCGGCGCAGCTGCCGCCTCAGCGGCCGCCACCTCAGCGGCCGCCGCCTCGGCGGCCTTTGCTGCCAGCGCCTGCGCCAGGGGCAGCAGCATTAAGCTGCGATCAGAGGCGAGAATTAGTGGGTGCGGCGGGGGGGGCGCGAGAGGCTGGCCAGAAGGGATGGGGCCATGTCACACGCCGGCGCCGCGGGTGCTCATGCCAACCGCGCCGAGAGGTCACCCTACTGCTGCATCTGCTGCTAGCGGCTCTGCTGATTCGGCTGCACCTCCCCCACCCACCCACAACTCTGCGCACCTCACGATTGAGGCAGGCCTTCTTGTGCTTGGGGTTGGTGCAGGTCTTGCAGGTGCCGCAGCGCAGGCCCTGTGGAGGGCGGCCGCCCTCGGGTGCCGCGGCGGCGGGAGCCGGCTGCTCCTGCTGCTTGGCCGCCTTGTCCTTGCCGCGCCGCTGCTTCTTGGCGCCCGCCGCCGCCTCGGTGCCTGGCGCTGCTGCTGTTGCGGGCTGCTTGTCCTCCACTACAGCCAGCAGGGCTGCCGCGGCCTCCGCCGCGACCACCTGCTTGCCTTTCTTCTTCCGCCGCTTCTTGCCGCTCGCTGGTTCGCCAGCCTCCTGTGCAGGCTCTGTCGCCGCCTTTGCAGCAGGACGAGCAGCAGGGGCGGACGGAGGCGAGGGGGGCGCCACAGCGGTCGCGCCCTTGCTGCGCCTCCGCTTCTTCTTGGCAGCAGCGCCTTGCTGCTGCTCGGCCGCGTGCGCGGCAGCAGGGCTGGGCGAGGGCTCGTCATCCGAAGCCTGCTGCTGCTGCTTGCGCTTGCGCTCCTGTTTGCCGCCCGTCGTGCCTCGCTCATCCTTCTGCTCCTGCTGGGCAGGCGCAGCGGCAGCTGGCGCCTGCTTCGCCTTCTTGCCGCCAGCCTCCGCCAAAGCCCCCTGCTGCAGCCCCTTCTGCTGCTTGCCGCCGCTCTTGGCTGCCTGGGTGGCAGCCGGGGGCTGCTGCTGCTGGCTGGCCTCGGCGGCAGGGACGGGGCTGCCGCCAGCCGCTGCTGCAGCAAGGGCAAGCAGGGTGAGCGAATGGTCAGACCCTATTCGCCTGAATGGCGAACACCAGGCACCCATCCATGAACCCATCCACTGTGATGCAATGGGTTCTGGCAACGCGGTGGCCAAAACTATCGGGCCTGGCAATGCAGACAGCGGCACCAGGCTGCGGGAACTCACCCGAGCCTCGGCGCCGCCGCTTGCGCTGCCGCTCCTCAGTCGCTGCAGCGGGCTTCTCCTCAGTGGCCTGCGCCTGCTGCTGCTGCTGCTTTGCCGGATGCCGCTGCTGCTGCTGCTGCCTGGCGGCGGCCTGGTTGGCTGCCGGCTGCGCGGCGGCGGTGGCGGCGGCTGCGGCGGCAGGCGCGTCCCGCCAGCGCTTCTGCCCGCGGCACGGCTGGCACTCCAGCCGCACCATGCCGGCTCCGTTGGGCAGCACATCTGCAGGGCAGGAGAAAGGGTGAACAGGGGTCAGGGAAGCCTGAGGCGCCTGTCGGTACCGCTTGCATGGCGGCACTCGTAGCGGCACCCAGGAGGCAGCACCCAGGAGAAACAGCACAGAGGCAGCAGCCACAGCCAGCAGCACCCAGGAGGCCAGTATCCAGGCAGGGCCAGCAGCACCCACCAATGATGCCGTCCTCGTCAAAGGCCGGGAAGAAAGCGGGGTTGCCGCCGCCGGCTGGCGCCGCCAGCGCGTCGGCCGGCACCGCCAGTGCCTGCACCGCCACCTGGCCGTGCTCTGGGTATTGCAGCTGGTGGCGGCGCGCGGCCTCGGCTGCACAATAGGACGCAGGGAGGGTGGGGTTGGTGTGCGTGCGTCGAGAGAGATTCAACACGTGCTGTGGGCAGCTATTGCTATCCACTGGAGCTGCATTCAACTGGAGCTGCACTGAACGCGGCGCCGGCAAGCGGCACCCGCCGCCACCAGGCCCACCTTTGACCGCCGCCACGGTGGACGCGTGCGGCACCGCCATCAGAAGCTTGGTCTGCAGGCTGGTCTCCACATAGACGCGCACCACGCCCGCCTGCTGGCCGCGCATCGCAGCCGCCGGGCTGGGCGCCATGCCATTGTTGCCGCCGCCGCCGCCGCCCTTCTTGCCGCCGCCGCCGGGCTTGGCACCGCCCGGCTTGGCCGGCTTACCTGCCCGCTTCTGCATTCGCCTGCGTTGACTTCCCTGGAGCAGGAGAGATTGAGTCGCCGCGCCTGGAACCTTTGGACCACGCCCAGTTAATGCATGCGCCGATGGTTGCAGCCCCGCGCCTCTTGGCAGCCTCAGGGCGCGAATGGCGGTGTTTAGGTTATGCGGATGTGCCTTTGGGAGCCCCAGAGCGCGGATTGTTTGTTTGGCGGCGGCCAAGGTACAATCAGAAGTACGGCGCCCGCTTCTAAAGAAACGCGCGCCTGATGATCCGTGCGCATAGGAAAATGCTTGAATGGCGAATGCTGAGTCACAAAATGACAACGACGACTGCGCTTGTTTTGGTCTGCCCCTTGGCATGGGTGCAGTTGCAACCAGGCAGAGTTCCCAGAGCAGAGCAAGTGCAGTAGCATGGCATTGTATCGGCCTCTGCCACAGCAATGCGGGGCTCTGCATGCCGGTTCAGAGAGCTCAGCATGCTGAGTCGACGGCACCACAGGCTGCTGCCTGCAACGCCAACTGCTGCCATGGTTGCAGGGTAAGGGGTTTGGGGGGGTGTCTGAGGTGCCTGCAGGCGAGTGGATGCGCACCGACATTTGCCGCCGCACCGCTGGCAGGCGACGCCACCCATGCCGCGCAGGTGCACGCCTGTGCCCAGCATTTGACGAGGCATGTGCTCTTACAATCAAGCTTACAATCAAGGATGCATGTCGAGCGGCTGGTGGGCCTGGGTTTAAGAAGGGTGTTTCTATTTGGGGAGTTCTGTGCATGGGGCAGCAGCTGTGCAGCGTCCTGCGGCCCCGTCAAGGGTCAGGGTTCCAGTCAAGGCAAAAATTGTCAGCTCGGCTGACAGCTGGTGCGGGAGGACGTGGGAGGGTGCCGGGTCCAGGGAGGGGGAAACAAAAGAGGGGAGGGTGGCAGAGAGAGGCTGCTGGAGGAGGGGGAGACATGCTCTGAACCAACGTCGGAATGCATGTCCGCCGCCTGCTCGCAGCCAATGTAGCCCACAGCGGCAGGGCCCCGTCACTGCCAGGTGGGACGCTTGGGGGACGGGGGCCACGGGGCGCCGTAGCAGGGTGGAAGGGATCAGACGTGCAGACAAAGAAGTGGGTTTGACACAGATCGTGCACACACACATGCATTGGGAGGACAAGGTGGGAAAGCTTCGAATGTACAAATCGGGGCAAATCAGGGCATCGGGGGATACGTGAAGCATCCAGGTAGAGGTAGGGGATAAAAGGCGACGTTCTTACTACTGGGGAGAGAGGATAGGTACGCGGGTACATACAGGGGTCGTTTGGGGCGTTGACGGGGGGTTCTGCTGTGCAAGGAAGCTGCCTGTGCGGCAGCGCCCGGTGCCTCTGCGGCACCGCAGGCAGGAGCTCGTTCAAACATGTTGCGCCCCTTTCGGGGCGGCAGCAGGAGGGACGCACGGCAGGCTGGAGCGCCCATCGGGGCGGGCAGAGCGCTCGGGAGCGGAGGGGGATGGCAAGCGGTGCTTTGTGAGGGCCCCCAGGCGGGGCAAGCGGGGGAGAGGCCTAGGCAGGCAGGGAGGAGTGCCTCAGATGCCAGCAAAGATCGAGTCGAAGCAGGTGGGATCGAAGATGGCGCTGTCGTCAAACAGCAGGGGGCAGTCCAGCGAGACGTCTGGCAGGCCCAGGCAGGAGGCCAACGCGCCCCGGCCGCCGCCCGCCAGCCCCACGCCATGCGCGTGCTGCTCCGGGTGGTGCCAGTGCTCGCCCTCGTGCCCCGCCAGGTCGCCAAACAGGAACTCGCTGGCGTCGGGGGCGGCCTCGGGCGAGTTGATGGACGGCGGCTGCGGCTGCAGCTGGTGCACTCCCTGGGAGGGTGTGCGCAGGGACGGGGCAGCATCGTTGTCGGCCGCCACCGCCGCCGCAGCAGCCGCCGCAGCCGGCGGCACTGCCAGCCTCGGAAGCGGCAGCGGCTTGGCCTGCTTGGGCGGAGGCGCGGCCCGCGGCTTGGCCGGCTTGGCCCGGGCCTTGGGCTTGGGCTTGGCTGCTGCAGTGGCCGCGGCCACGCCCGCTGCTGCCTTAGGGCGTGCTGCCGCGGAGGGCGCCTGCGCCGGGGCAGGCGCTGGCGGGGTGCTACCGTTGGGGGGCGGGCCCAGGGAGAGGATGCATTGGTCCAGCCCGGCTGCCCGGCTGGAGTGGATGTACTGGTGTACCGCTGCAAGGAATCAGGCATGGCACAGGAGGTTGGTTTCAAAGAGCGTGGAGCTGCGGGGCTGGAGGTGCAGGGCTGGATGCGGGCTGGCGGGCGGACAGGGGCGGTACCGGCAGGGGCGGTACGCCCTGTGCGCGCTGCGCGGCTCGCCTGTGAACAGGTCGACTTGCGGGCAGGTGGGCCCCGGGAAGCGCAGGCTGAAGGCGGGCACAGACCAGGAAAGGGCCTTGGTGAGCGGGTTGAAGCCAAGGCTGATGCTGGCCTCTGCGGGGCCTTCGTGCCAGCACGGCACAGCCCCCGCCGCCGCAAACACCGTCAGCCGCACCGCCGCGCCGCCGGCCGTGGCCGGCCACCGCGGCCGCGCCTGCGGCTGGTGCGGCGCCTGCGGCGCCTGCGAGTCGGCTTCCTGCTCCGGCGGTACCGCCCCGGGCGTCACCGCCTCCAGCAGGCACGACACGTCATGCTCCATCCCCAGCGGGTCGCTGGCCAGGTGCAGCTTCATGCGCGGCAGCAGGGCCAGCACCGCACTGCAGCAGGCGCAGCAGGTACAGCAGGCACAGCGGGCACAGCGGGCGGTCAGCGGGGCGTCTTGGCAGACCTCCGGGACGCAGGGAGGCGTGGCGCTGCACTCATACTCATACAGCGACAGATCAGGGGGCCAGCCAAGGGCGAGCGGCGCGTGTGCAGCAGCCGGCGGCAGCGGGCCGGGCGCTCACCGCTGCGTGCACAGCGGGGTGGCCGCCTGCGCCCTGTGAGCGCTCTGCAGGGTCGCGGCCAGGGTGTGGGGGTGGCCCGAGATGCCCGCATCCTCCAGCACCTTCAGCTGCAGGTCGGCCAGCATCAGCTGCTGCTGCTGGTGGCGCTGCTGCTGCGGGGGCTGGCCCGCGGCCTGCAGCAGGGTTGGGGTGCGCGATGGGCGTTGGTGGAGGCGGCGGCAAGGGGCTGCCCTGGCGCATGCGGGGCATGGCGCTGCAGGGCGGGGCATGGAAGGGCATCGCCAGCGGAGCATGGGAGGCAAATGGGGGGCTTGCCTGGTGCGCTGTGGGCGTTGCCACCGCGTGCTGCAGGGGCGTGGGCAGCGGGGCGCCGTGGTGGGATGCCGTGTCGGTCAGCTGCGCCTGCGCCTGCTGCTGCTGCTGCTGCTGCGCCTGCTGCTGCTTGCGCGCCCCCTCCTGCCGCGGCTGCTGCCTTGCCGTCTGCTCCGCCTCCTGCACCTGCTGTGCCGGCTGCTGGTCCACAACCGCGCTGCGGCTGCCGGTGTCGGACGCGTCCTCGCCCGCCGCGGCCGCAGCCGCCGCCGCCGCAGCCGCCGTGCGCCGGCGCAGGCGCGGCCGCCGCGGCGAGCCGCCGCTGTTGCCGGCGCTGTTGGCGGCCAGCAGCCGCATCTCTGCCTCCGCCGCCTTGCGCTTCAGGCGGTACATCTTGCAGTGGCAGGAGTTGCACAGCCTGCAGGGCAGGGGCACGCCAGGGGCAGGCTTGTTAGGTAGGGCCAAGGAGCTGCGGCCGCCGCCGCATCCCGCTGCCGGCGGCTGTGACCCCTGGCGGGCGCTGCGGGGTCTCCCCCGCCGCCAAGCGGTCCCGATCATCCGCAGGGGGCGGCGGCACCGGGTATTGACGAACCAGGGAGCCTCAGGGAGGCGACTGCCTCGCAGTACACCATGCGCATGCCACATGCCGAGCAGGCGGGGCTCTGCGGGGCTTCTGGCGGCGCCGATCATCGCCCAGGAATCTTACCTGCACCCTGTGTCCGGGCAGCGGCGGAAACTGGACGCTCGGTGCGTCCCACAGACATCGCAGCCCGAATCATCGAACTTTTCACGCCTCCCATTCGCCTCCCAGGAGCTCTTGGATCCCTGGCCGCTCGGTGACATCGGCCGGGCGCGCCGTCCCCCACGGGCAGCGGGTGTTGGGGGTTGTAAGGGCTGTGCGTGCGGGGGACTGAGGTTGCCGCTGTCCCCTGCTAGCTGAGGGGCATTGAAACCAGGAATGAAGTGGTGGGCGCGCGGTATCAGCGCGGATGGTGGGAGAGGAGGGATAAGGGCAGCGTGTGAAGGTGCTGGCCAGCTGCAGTGCTGGCACAAGTTACCGCCCCCAGGGCCTCGCCCTCGCCCCCGAATTCCGCCCACGCAAGCCTGGCATTGGTGCAAGAGGGATTGGGGCGCTGCAAGCCAGTTACAGGCGCAGAGGCTGGTGGGCTGCGGCTGGCCGGGGCGCAAGGCGATGCGCCGCCGCAAGCTCAGGGGTGGCAGCTCCGCCAACGGGGAGCCCAAAACAACTCAGGCCCCACCGCAGCAGTCTGCAGGAGGCGCCGGCAGGGTTGAACCCTTGCCCGGCGGCCTCCCGGCGCGGGGAGACGGGAGACCGGGGCGCGCTCCAGGCCTGGCCCCGCGCTCTGGCCGCGCGGCGCATGTCCTTAGCGGCCGTGCGCGCTCACTCCACCACAGCACATCAAGTGCTGTCGGCCACCTTCACAATCTCGCGGGTCACGTAGTCCCGAGCCACCCCCTGCTGCTCATCGTAGTCGGGGTCGCGGGAAATACGGTCAGCGCGCCGCGCCTTGTCCGCCTCCACCTGGAGGCGAGGAGGAGCGGGAAAACGCAACGAGGCGCGCGGGATTTCGGGCAGGATTCCACGAAGGGATGGCGAGGCCCCGTCGCCGGGCCGGCGCAGGGAGCTGCCCACGTGCGCCCAGGCAGGCAAGCGCAGGGCGGGCTGCTTCAGCGCATCGCAGCAAGGAAAGGCAGGTGGGCTGGGAGAGGAGTGGACATGGCTGCCGGGCCAGCAGCCAGCCGGCCCCTCGCGGCCAGGCAAGGCAGCAGCCATCCCGCCAGCCATCCCCCAGGCAGGCAGGCAGGCAGGCAGGCTGGTGTGCCTCCCCACCTCCTCAAACGACTTGGCATTCTCCTCGGCGTGCAGCAGCGCCAGCTGGCTGTACGAGTCCGCGGCGGCGCTCACAAATTGCACCTCGTCTGCGGCAGGCGTGGCAGGTGGGGAGGGAGGACGGGGGAGGGGCCGGGGGTCAGTGCATGCCACCAGGGCTGCATGCACGCCAGGCTGTCACGGCGGGCCTGGCAGAGAGAAGCACAGGCGGTGGCTGTGACGGGTGGGGCGGCTACCGCGCGCGGCAGCAGGCTGCAGGCGGCGGCTGGCACGGGCCGCCCCAGTTTCTGGATTTCTTCACACGCAGGACCAGCAGAGGCGGGTGCCACCTACCCTCAATGAGATTGCGCAGGAACTTGGCTGGGCTGCCCGCCCACACCTGGCCGCTGGGGATGACGGTGCCTGGCGGCACCAGCGCCCCCGCGGCCACCACAGACTTGCTCTCAACCTAGGGGATGGCAGGGGAGCGGAGGGGGCGAGGGGGCGGCAGGGTCATGTGAGCGCACCAGGGCCAGAGCACACCGGTATCCGGCCTCCCCAGTGACGCAGCACACCAGAGTCGAGGGTGCCTCCCAGCCAGCACGCCCTAACCAGCCGCACAACCCTCCCTGCGGGCCTCCCACCCGCTGCCGTTTCCGTCCCCGGCAAAGGGTTTGGGGTGCCCCTCACCTTGGCCCCATCCATGATGACTGCCCCCATGCCCACCACCACACAGTCCTCAATGGTGGCGGCATGGATCGTGGCCCCCGGACCGATGGTCACATTGCTGCCGATCTGGGTGGGCAGCGCCTGCAGCGGGGCGGGGCAGGGGGTGGAGGGGGGCACGGGGAGAGCTGGGGCCTCGGCTGCCGGCGGCATGGGAGCAAGGGCGTCGTGCATGGCCGGGTGCAGCAGGGTGCGGTGCTAGCGGCTTCAGGCTTGGCCACTGGGCCCCCGTGTGCCGGCCCCGGTGGCCTGGCCGCCGCAACGCAGCCATGCCCCAGCGTGCAGCAGCAGCAGCACTGGGTGTGCTGCGGCAGACACCCCCCCCACACACATGCTGGCAGCGCAGCTCCCCGGCCACCCACCTTGCCAGCCATGTTGTGCTTGGCAACATGCACCAGTACATTGTCCTGCACGTTGGTGCGGTCCCCAATCACCACGCTGTTCACGTCACCTGGCAGGACAGGGGGCGCAGGGGAGAGCTGTTTGGGCAGGCGTAGCCGACGAGGGCTGGGGCAGCGAGGGCCTGCTCATGCGGAGTTGTGGCTGCAGCTCTGCCCGTGTGTGCTGCCTCCAAATTGCATCCCAGTGAGCCAGCAAGCAGCAGCCGCCGGATAGCTAGCATCAGGGCACAAACCACGGCCAGCCGGAGGCAGCGCGCCACTCACCCCGCACCACGGCGCCATACCAAATGGAGGCGCCGCTGCCAATCTTGACGTCCCCCACCACGCTGGCATTGGGCGCCACAAACACGCTATCCGCCAGCTGCGGCCGCTTGCCGGCAAAGGCCTGCACGCTCTGCGCCTTGTTCACTGCAGGCAGGAGCGGGGCCGAGGGTCGGGAGGTGTGGCGGGGCGGCGGCGGTGGGGTCTGGCACAACATTCGCGCAGCGGCGGCTGTCAATCGCGCCTCCGATCGAGGACACTACTCACAGGTCTCCTTGTAGGCGCCGCTGCCCTGCACGGCGCTCCCCAAGCCGTCCAGCGCCCGCCCAAGCCCCCGCAGCAAGCCGGCGGTCGCCCTGGTGAGGACAGACATCGCTGCGGGGCACAGGAATTAGCTGCCCACCGCAGCTGCTGCCCAGGGGTCTGCTCGCGGCGGGGAGGCTCAGCGGGGTGGGTGGGCGACGCCCCAGCTGGTGTAAACCGCGGTGATGAGGCCTCCTTTTCGCGATGGTGCTACGGGTTCCCTGCAGGGAGCTTTTCTCCAGGGAGCTTTCCCAGCCACGTCGGCACGGAGTCAAAGGCACTCAGCAGCGTGAGGGTGGGCGAGGAGCGATCGACAGCTGATCGGGCAGCGTGGAGCAGCGCCCGGCCGCGTGATCACCGCCCCTCGCGATCCTGAGAGCTCTTGGCGGCCCTCTCTGCCGCTCGACCAGACCCTGCTGTCCAGCAGTTGTCCAGGGCCTGCCCCGACGCTGTTGCTGCGGCGCGTAGGCCAGGCGCGCAGCTCGGCGGCCTGTGGCACGCGCTGAACAGCGCGCCAGCCGGCTGAGCGCGCTGAGCGGATCGTCGGAGGCATCTGGTGAGCGGGTAGCCGGCCCCTGACCGCCCAGAATAGCGCCCTCCGCCGCCGCTGCTGACCCCGCCCCTGCCGCCGCTGGCCTCCTGCAGCCCCGAATAGAGGCAGGCGGCAGCAGGATGGCGGGTCCGCTGGCCGTTTGCAACGAGTCGCTGGGCGCCCTGTACTTCATCAACGGCCGGGGCGATGTGCTCATACAGCGCATCTACCGAGACGACATTGAGTGAGCCCGCTGTGCACCCTGCTCTTGGGACCCCAGCGCAGCGGTCTTTGCGTTTGCTGCGCGGCTGCGGCGCCTGCCATCGTACGCTGGTGCTCGTGCCGCGGCCCACCCTCAGCTGCTGCTGCTGCTGCTGCCGCCCACCTCATCTCCCACCTCCCACCTCCCATCCCGCTCTCCTCCCCGCTCCCCTTCCCACCTCCGCCGCAGGCGCAACCTGGCCTCAGCCTTCCGCAGCCACGTGATCAACAGCCGGGAGACGGACGCCGCCAGCCTGGCGCCGGTGCGCCAGTTTGGCGACGCCTCCTACGTCTACCTGCGCGCCGGCAACGTGTACCTGCTGGCGATCACCAAGCGCAACAGCAACGCCTTGATGATCATGCAGTTCCTCAGCAGGGTGGGTCCCGCTTGGATGGCAGCGTGCAGCAGACTCCCCGCCGCACGCTTCGGCTGCCGCCGCGTGCTGCAGCTTCGCGCCGCTCACCGGCTGCCGCACCGCTGCCGCGCCGCGGCCACGCATGCACCGGTCGATGCAACACAATGCGCCCGCTCCAGGCACGCCACTCATGGGCCCCACCCGCCTCCCACCCACCCGCCCGCCTCCCACCTGCAGCTGGTGGACCTGGTGCGGGCGTACTGCCAGGGCGAGTTCAGCGAGGATGTGGTGAAGGGCAACTTTGTGCTCATCTACGAGCTGCTGGATGAGGTGCTGGACCACGGGTACCCGCAGGTGGGCGGGTGGCTGGGTGGCAAGGTGTGGCGTGGATCACATGATGACGCACACTTCTCTCCTTTCTGGTGTGTGTGTGTGTGTGTGTGCGCGCTCTGGGGCACGGGCACCCTCAGGTGGGCGGCCGGTGTGGCGTGGCGTGGATCGTGCCTTCCTCGGGGGAGAGGAAAGGGGCCAAGAGTGTGGGCGGTGGTGGCGGTATTGGGGCTGCGCAGCGGGCTGCTGCTGCGACCGGTGTGCTGCTGCGCAGCACCGCCCCGGCTGCTGCGCCTGGGCTGGTGCCTGCCTGTCCCAGCCCTGCTGCCCTTCTTTCCTCTCCCGCAGGTCACCGACCCCTCAGTCATGAAGTCCTTCATCTTCCAAAAGGTGGGAGCAGGAGCGGGCCCAGCTGCCGGTATCCTGCGGTGCCGCACGCCCATGCGCGGTGGCGGCAGCGCCGCAGGGGTTGCCCCCCTGCTGCCGGGCGTCTGGGCCAACGGCGGGTGTGAGCGCCGAGCCGCGGCTGCTGCTGCTGCTGCTTGTTGTCGTGCTGCAGGGCTGGGTGACTCCTGCCACCAAGAAGAAGCGGGAGGCGGAGGCGGCAAACGCAACGCTGCAGGTGCTGGCCATGGCGGCAGTGCAGGCCTGCGGCAGCCTGCCCTGTTCCCAGCACACGCATGCCTACAGAACTGCACCCACCCCAGCATCTGCCTCCCCACACACTCCCACCTGCCCCGCACACCACACACGCCACACATGCCCCGCACCGCGCCGCAGGTTACGGGCGCAGTGGGGTGGCGCAAGGAGGGGCTGCGCTACAAGAAAAATGAAGTGTTCCTGGACGTGATAGAGAATGTCGACATGCTGATGAGCGCGCAGGCAGGGCGGCCGCTGTGCATGCTGTGCATGCTGTGCCGCGCTGCTGGGCTGTCGTGACCAGGGCGCGTGCCGGTTTTTTGCACTTGATGAATCCACTTGATGAATGGAGTGGTGGCACCGGGCGGTGCACAACACGCCGCATGCACCGGCGGGACGCGATTTCCCGGCACGCGCCCTGGTCACGGCAGGCAGGTGGCTGACCGCGGCCCCACTCCCTTGCCTGCCGACCCCGCCTGTCCCGTCCGCGCAGGGCAGCGTGCTGCGGTGCGAGGTGCAGGGCAGGCTGGTGATGAAGGCGTTCCTGAGCGGCATGCCCGACATCAAGCTGGGGCTCAACGACAAGCTGGAGGTGCGGGCCTGCCATGTCACAGACCCTTGCCTGTGCCTGTGTTGGATAGGCACGGCACCCTGGGCCGTGCATCCGCCTGGCTTGGATGGATGCTCTGCCGGGCGGACGGCTCCTCTTTTTGTTCGTGCGAGCAGCAGGCGGATAGCAGCATACCAGAGCTGCTGTCACGCGCCTGGCGCTCGGCTCCACATGCGCGCTGCCTGGGCCGCCGCCGTTCCTCCTGCTCTCCCCCTGCCCAGGATGTGACTTTCCACCCCTGCGTCAACCTGGGCCGCTTCAACGCCGAGAAGGTGGTGTCGTTTGTGCCGCCGGACGGCGAGTTTGAGCTGATGAAGTACCGCTGCACCGGTAGGTGGAAAGCGCCGGACTGCCGCGAGTGACGCTGCGCCGCCGCCACCCCTGCCGCGGCTGCCGCCACCTCCGCCGCCACCTCCGCTCTGCTGCTGCTGCTGGCGCTGCCGGTGCTGCCGCGCGCCACGTTGCCCGTCGGCCGCCGGGACTGACTCGCGCTGTTGCTGATGCCCACGGCGTCTGAGCATTGTGCTGCCTGCCGCGCCCGTCTGCGCGCGTGCAGAGGGCATCACGCTGCCCTTCAAGGCGGTAGCGCTCATCCAGGAGCACGGCCGCACGCGGCTAGACGTCACAGTCAAGGTGGGTGCGCCTGGCTGGCAGTCCTTGCCTGGAGGGAGCAGGGAGCGTAGGGGTTGGAGGCCTGTAGGCAGCCGTGGGCCCAGGCCTGGAGGCAGGCGGGAGCGCATGCAGCAAACGGGTGGCTGGGCAGCCGGGCCGTGCCGCGCCATCGGGCAGGGATCGCAGCGTGCAGCGCCCGGCGGTGTGGCTGCGCCCGCCCGCAAGAGGCTGCCTCGCCGTGACCGGCCCCTGTCACCAACCCTGCATGCCCAGCGCCCGCCACACCCGCCTCGCCTCCCCTCCCTGCCCCCGCAGGTCAAGAGCACCTTCCCCGTGAAGCTGTTTGCCACCAACATGGTGGTGCTGGTGCCGGTGCCCGACCAGACTGCCCGCGCCTCCTTCAACATCACCGCAGGTGATCGGCCTGCTGTTACGGTTTGTGCACGCTTTACGCCTTGCTGAGGCAAGGAATCGGCCGGCCAAGCGGCACGCAGGAGCAGCTGAGCGGTGCTGGTTGTAGGGAGGCCAGCGGGCAGGCAGGCACCTCCTGCATGCCCGCTGGCAGCGGACCGGGCCAAGGGAGGCCAGGCAAAGGCAGCAGGGAATGAGTCGCGCGCCGTGCTCATGCACCTCACGCACCTCACCGCCCACACACACACACCCGCCACTGCCCTGCATCCTTTGCCCACCCGCAGGCAAGGCCAAGTACGACCCCAAGCGCCACGCCCTGGTGTGGAAGCTGAAGAAGTTCCCCGGGGAGACGGAGCACACCCTGGCGGCCAGCGTGGAGCTCATCGCCACCACGCGCGACAAGAAGCCGTGGAGCCGGCCGCCGCTGTCCATGAGTTTCCAGGTGGGAGAGGGCTGGAAAGGAGAGGGCGCCGCAGGCCGGCCAGGCGCGGCAGGCACGCTGCAGGGCAGGGTGGCCTGGTGCGAGTGGTGCACTGTCTGGCTGGGCCGGCCGATGAGGTGGGGTGCACGCAGCTGGGTGCGTATACACCCAGGGTATACCATTCCTAGTACGTTGCGCCGGCGTCCTTCCCCTCTGCAGGTGCCCATGCACAGCGCCAGCGGGGTGCGGGTGCAGTACCTCAAAGTCTGGGAGAAGAGCAGCTACAAGGTGGGTGGCTCGGCTGCTAGAGCGCGTCTGCTTAGCTGAGCTTACAGCGTGGTCTGTGCATTCTTTATGTTGGGGGCTGCCAGAGAGCGGCCCACCGTAAGGCGGTAGATACCTCGAGGTATCTTACCCTGGGAGAGCCCTCGCATAGCTGCTGGCTTTAACTCATGCTACCCCAGCACCTTGCTGCCGCAGGTAGACAAGTGGGTGCGGCGCTTGCTACGTGCAAACCCAGGAGACTACGAAGTGCGGCTGTAGGCCCCAGCCCCTGTGCTTCGGCGGCAACAGCAGCGCCAGTTCCGGGCCGCAGCTGCGGCAGGGCACAGGCAGCACGGGTTTGGGGCAGCAAGCATGCATGGCAGGGACTTTCTGGGCTCCTGGGCTGCTTCGCTGTGAGCCGACCGGCCTTGGTTTGCAATCGGCGTGGGCAAGGCCAGCGCATCTTTTACGGTTGTTGACGCAGTGGTCAGCATTCACTGTACCCTTTGAACTTTGAACCTTGCATTGATGAGAAGGAACAGGGGCTGGGGCACGCAAGGGAGGGGAGGTGGGGGGGGCGGCGGCTGCAGCCCCTTGCAAGCGGTCGGGGAGAAGGAAAGCGTTGGCTCCGCTGGGCGCTGAGCGAGCACCACCCAGGCGCACACGGCAAGCTGTGGGCATCCTCACTCCTTCCTCGGCCTGCCCGAGCCCGGTGGCGGAAGATGCGCGGCATGGGACCGCCAGCCTGGGCCTGAGCCAGGTGGAGGGAGCGATGCGAGTGGTGTAGAGGTGGTTCATCGAGACTCTGCCCGCGGCGCCGTGCCGGAGCAGTTCGTGAATGCATGGAGGCCACCAGCAGCCTGGTGGATAAAGTCGGGCTGCTAACCGATGGCAGCTAACCGATGGCAGGTGCGGTGGGGGCTGGGCTGGCAGACTGCAGGGCGACTAGGGACGCGGCGTGCTGCGGCAGGCAGTGCAGGGAGCCGGGGAAGCACCTTAGCGGCATGACGAGATACGATAGCGTTACGTGTTCCTTCAAGCATCAAATCGAACGAGAATGAGGAATGCATGCGGGTTTTGGTTTTGGGGATGCCAGGCGATGAGAAAAAGGAAAGCAAGACAACCCATCATCAAAAGCCCCAGCCCAACAGATTGGGCACTGCCATCCACACCCCATCAGGCAACAGCCTGCCAGCTCACTACCCGCGCCGCTTGGCGACGCCAGTCAGCACCGCGCGGCACGCGCTGGCCCGCTGGCCCCGCCTTGCCGCCGCGCGCTGTGCCCGCTGCAGGCTGCGCTCCTTCCTGGCCGCCGCCGCCGCCACCGCGCGCAACCTGGCCGCAGCCTCCCTCTGCTTCTGCTCCTGCTTGCGTGCAGCGGCGGCCCGCTTGATCTCGGCAGCCGCGGCCCGCGCAGCCTGCTCCTACGCCTTGGCTGCCGCCCGCTCCACCTTCTGCCGCGCTGCCGCTTTCTTCTTGCGCGTGGCCTCCTTTTGGGCTGCCGTGGGCTGCTGCTTCTTGGGGAGCAGCTTCTTCAGTAGCCAGCTGGCCGCGGCGGCGTTGCGCTCGCGCTGCGCGTGCCGCCGCGCCGCCAGCCGCTCCTTCTCCCTCCAGGCCGCCTGCTTCGCCGCCGCCTCGCGCTGCCCCTCCTGCGTCAGCTCGCTGCGCCACTCCTGTAGCCTCTCCTGCTGCCGCTTGAAGCTCTGGGCCCGCTCCTTGGTGAGCAGCCCTCGCTCCAGCAGTTCCTGCATCGAGCCGCGCACCTGCGGCAGCCACAGGCCGGCAAGGCGCGCCAGGGGAAGGCGAGCGCATTGAGGAGGCAAAGGTAAAGGAGGGGGCGGGCAGGGGTAGAGTGGGAGAGGTATGGGAGCCAAGCAAAAGGGAAGCAAAAGGGCGTGCGCTCAATGGCCGCACGCCAGCAAAGCGCTTGTGCCTGGCGGCAGCGTGGCTGTCGGCAGCGGGCCGCGCTTGGCGCCAGCTTGAGCACCCTGGCTGGCCGCTGGCTGCAGGCAGCTCCCTCTTGCTTGCCTTGTTGCGCACATACTTCTGCACCGCATTGACCTCCTCCAGCCCGCATGCCGCCAGCCACTTCACTGCGGGGCGCTGCCACAGCTTGAGCTGCGGCAGGTTCCAGCGGTGGTTGCGCAGCTTGCTGTCGGTGCAGCCTGCGGGACGTGAGGACAGCAGGGGGCGAGGAAAGGAGGGGGGTTGAGGGCATGGAGCGGTTGTGTTCAGGGGAAGGACGGTGCTGGCCAGGCGTGGTCGGCATCGCGCTGACCATGCCATGCCTGCATGATCCTGCAGCAGTGGGACAGGCAAGCTGCAGGCACGCACTGGCAGTTCGGTTCACCTTTGGAGCGCAGCAGCAGCCAGAGGGTGGCGTAGTCGTAAGCCAGCGCCGCCTCCACCTCGCTTTCAAAGGCGTGGATGGCGAAGAAGGGTGGCTCGCCGACTCGGTATATGTCGATCATCTTTGGAGGCGCCTTGCCCGCCGCGGCCGGCGGCGCCACCACCACCGCGCTCCACTCCGGCCGCGGCATCCAGTCCTTCTGGATGGCACGCCCTGTCTGGTAGTACCAGATGCCTTTGTACCTGGTGCAGGGCAAGGGGCCAGCCAAGTGTGGGCAACCACTGGAGGCCATGCGGCGACGAATGGCGGCGAGGTGGGGGCTCCTGAAGGACTAGTCCAGCCCGCAATGCCTCACACCCTAGGTCGGGGACCCTATCCAGCCAAATGCCGACTCACTTCGACTTCTTGCCGGCCTCAGCAGCGGTCTGGTCGAGATAGTCTCGTGCGCCGGCGCTCCTCACGGCGTTCCTCACGGAGTCCGCCGTCATGTACTTACCGCGCATCGTGGGTGATTATTCAGCGTTGGGTGGGTAACCAGCGAGGGAAACCTAGCGCGCTGCCCCGAAATCGGCTACAGGTTTCGTATACCTGAACCAGGGCTTTGAATAGGCTCTGCAGTCACAGGAGATGTGGGTTTGGGGGCTGCAAGTTCAATATGATGTGGTGGGAGGTGCATGGAACAGCGCAGCATTCTCAGCGCGGCCACCGCCCTTGATGCGATGCGGCAGAGCTTTGAAGTGCCCTTTTAAATAAACTGGATTTGCCATGGACATGCACTGCGTGTGTCAACCCTCAGCAGGAAGCCATGTGACCGTGGCATGGCTCTGCGAAACTCAAGGGGGGCGGCCGCTGCCAGAGCGCTAGCGCCGAGGCGGGACCGGTCCGCCGCCTCGCTGGCAGAGGTGCTTGGCGGCCACCCCTACCACAACACGCTAACTGGCGCCCGTCCATCGGCAGTCGCGGTCCCGCCAGTCTCCTGCTGTGCTGTGCAGACTGAAGACTGCAGCCTGCTCGATCAGCGCTACAAAGTAGCACCTGCCTCCGGGCCTTCAAGGGCTGCCGTGCTCGTGCTACTCCTCCCCAACAGCGCGGTATAATTGTAAACATGGCAGGGGCCGTGCACATAGGCTCCGCTGGGAGGGCCGAGGATTACCAGGGCCAGGGCCTGTCCGCGTATGTGGTCTTGGTCTGCATCGTGGCCTCCCTGGGCGGCTTCCTGACAGGCTACGACCTTGTGCGCGCTCCGGACATTTGCTAGCCCTACCGGAGGGTTGCCGCCGCCGCTGCCGCAGCCGTTGCCGCCGCCGCTGCCGCCGGCCAGGTGTCACATCAGCGCTACGCCTGAGGTGTCATGGCCGTTGCACCACCCCCTGCGTGCAGGGCGTCACCGGGGGGACGGAAGCCAACCCGAACTTCCTGCAAAAGTTCTTTCCCTCGGTGCGCACACCTGGGCGGTGCTTGTCGGCAGCCGCACGTTGCCCCGATCACGTACGGAAGCGCTGCCTGCCATGGCCATGCCTACCTGCCTTCTTCGCCCTGCCTTTCCCTGCACTCCGCAGGTGTACGAGGAGAAGCAGAGCTCCGAAATCAGCAACCCGTACTGTGAGCGGGGCCGCCTGCCTGCAGCCAGCAGGCGCCCGCGCCCCGCACCCTCGTGCGGCGCCCCGAGCACTGCTTGCAGACACACCTGCGCACCCGCCGCACGCCTCCCCACCACACCCACCCACGTGAAACGCACCATGCCGCTGCCCCGCGCCCCAACCCCTGCCTGCAGGCAGGTTCAACGACCAGATGCTGCAGCTCTTCACCTCCTCCATCTACCTGTCCGCCGGCCTCGCCTGCCTGCTGAGCGGCCACCTGACGCGCACCCGCGGCCGCAAGCTGGGTGTCTTCCTGGGCGGCCTCTGCTTCATGCTGGGATCCATACTCAACTGCGTGGCGGAGAACCTGGCCACGCTCATCTGCGGGCGCCTCATCATGGGCCTGGGCATAGGTGAGCTCAAGCTGCTGCAAGGTCGGGAGGCTGCTGCAAGGTTGGGGAGGCGGGCAGGTGGAGGCGTGCGCGCCGGGCCGCGCTGCGCCTCGGCGCTTTGGGCCCTGCGGGGGGCAGTGCACCGCTTCAGCCGTGCACCGCCGGCCGCGCCCGGGGTGTGCCCAGCCTGCGCCCGCATGCCCACACATACATGGCGCCCCGCACCGATATCGCCGCCGCGTCTTGCCTCCCGCGCCTCCCCGCCGCCGCCGCAGGGTTTGCCAGCCAGGCCATCCCCATCTACCTGACAGAGGTGGCCCCCGCGCGGCTGCGTGGCGGCGTCACCGTGATGAATGCGCTGGCCATGGTGCTGGGCATTCTCGTGGCCCAGCTCATGAACTACGGTGCGGCAGGGGAGGCACTGGGAGGCACTGGGAGGCACCGCAGAGGAGGCTGCTCGGCGGGCACAGCCCTCTCATGCCGGCCGCAGCACCGCAGCCGGGCCCGCAGCATTCGCCTGCTCCTCGCGGGTGTGGCAGCCAGGCAGCCGGCGACGCCTGCGCGGCGCCGCGCAGCCTTCCTTCCCCTCGCGCCGGCAGCCGGTGGCGCCGCCGGCGGGCCTGCCTGCCGCCGCCTGCCTGCCTGCCTGCCGCCCACCTGTCCCTGCCTGCGCGCTGCAGCTCTGCGCGACTGGCCGGAGAGCTGGCGCCTGACCCTGGGCCTGCCTGCGGGGCCCGCCCTCGTCATCTGCCTCACCATTCCTTTCCTCCCCGAGTCACCCAACTCACTCATACAGAGGTGAGCCCGGCATGCCTTTTCTCAGCTGCCCTGCTGCGCGAGGGCAGCGGCTCACGCCAGCCCTGGCCTGCACACGAGCGCAGGCAAGGGCGGGCTCCTCCCCAGCAGGTGCACCATGCCGCTGCGCCTGCCAGCAGCCGGTGCACCCTGCTGTGCTACCAGCCAGGCAAGCTGCAGCACGGGGTCATGACAGCGTCGCTGCTGGCCTTGTCGCCCCGCCCGCGCACTTGCAGGGACCGGCGGGAGCAGGGGAGGAAAGTGCTGGAGAAGATCCGCGGCGGCGGCGACGTCGATGTGAGCTGCCGCTCAGCAGCGCTGCTGAGCTGCCAGGGCCAGGCCTGGCGGTCGGCGCCTCAAACCACAGCAGGAAATGCCTGCCAGGGGACAGCACTGGGTAGACACTCTTTCAAACCCTCCTGGGGAGGCCGAAAGCTCCCAAGCTCCCTGGCTGCTGCCATGCCCCTACCATGCGGTCACTTGCGCCATCCTTTTACCTCGCCTTCCGTTCGGCCCCTAACCCATCCCATGCTCCACCCGTGGAGGTGAGCGCTGAGTACGAGGACTTGTGTGAGGCGGCTGACAATGCCACCAAGATCACGTACATGCAGTCTTGGACGTTGCTGGGAAAGCGGCAGTACAGGTGGGCAGGCCACGCGGTACAGGCGGCAGGCGGCATCGCTATGCCGACCCCTGCTGCCCCCCTCGCACACGCACATGCACGCACAGCCCGTCACACCAAAGCGTGCATGCACGCACACCCCGTCGCACCAAAATGTCGCACCATTGCCGCAGGCCGGCGCTCGTGCTGGGCAGCGCCATGCCTTTCTTCCAGGCGATGACTGGCTACGCTGCGGTAATAGTTTTTGTGCCTATCTTCTTTACGACGCTGGGAGATACACAGTGAGTGAACAGCGCAAGCTGGCGCCTTGCGTTGCGCAGAATGCTTTCGGTGCCACCCTGTTATCGGCGGTCCGCCGCCGGCTGCCTGCTCTCGCCACGCCCCAACCGCCCCACAAAGCTCCAAAAGGAGGGTTCATTTCCTAGGAAGGGCCCTAAAACCGAGGCCCGCCTCTTCCTAGGAAGGAACAGCTCAGATAGTCAGCGCCAAGCGAGGGTCGGATCCTAGCGGCGGCCGCGGGCGGCGGCGCCCAGCTGGCATCCGATTTTTCAGTTCCTTCCGAGTTGTCCGATGGGAGGCAGCAAAACGTGTGCCTCAACTTGTGTGGTCCAAATTTTGGGAGGTTTAGTTCAGCAGCATCATGCCAAAAGAGCGGCGCGCCGGGAGCGGTGCCGCCAGCTCATCGTTGCCTTCAATTTTAAGGCTCTAGCTGTTTAGGGTCTCCCTGCTGCTCATTTTCTTAGCTTAGGTTGATGCGAGACTGAGTGTAGGTGTCCAGCTTTTTTGGAGGTCTGGCTGCCGCACAGCCGCAGGCTGGCTGCGCGCCTTAGGGTACCCCAGTGGTTCGTGCCACATGGACGGAGTGCACGGTGTGGTCACACCGTGCCGCGCCCTCCCCAGCACTCACCCGCCCACCCCTCCTCCCCACCCCACTGCAGCGAGGAGGCACTTCAGAAGGCCCTCATCATCTCCGGGGTCAAGATCGCCATGACCCTGCTCTCCATGGTACTCGTGGACCGCCTGGGGCGGCGCGTGCTACTGCTGGAGGGAAGCATCCAGAGCGCCGCCTCGCTGGTGCGCGGAGCGTGGGCGTGGGTGCCTGGCTGTGCGGCATACGATGTGCCGCCGCCTGGCTGGCAGGCTTGCTGCGGCCGACGGCGGTCGGGTCGTGCAAAGCGGGCTCAGCGGGCATAGCAGGCACTGCGTGCAGCCGGGGCCGTGCCAGCCCGCCAGCCCGCCAGCAGCCCGGCACCAGTCCCAGCCAACCCGCTTGCCTGGCGGCTCAGCCTGCCAGCCGCCAGGCAGCACGCCACACTCCAGCTCAACCCTGCCCCTGTGCCCTGCCGCGGCCGCCGCTCTCAGATGGCGACGGCGGGCGTGGTGGGCTGGGCGTTCAACACATATGGGGAGGACCTCCCCGATTCCGTGGGCATAGGTGAGCTGCCTTGTTGTGAGAGAGCAGCGTGCCGGCTGCTGTGTTCTGAAGCTGAGGCGGAGGCGGTTATGAGGCACTCCTTGCCACCCATGCGGCAAACCAACCCGCTGTCCTTTCTTCTTCTTCTTCTCCCACAACCCGCCCCACATCCCGCCTACCACATCCCGCCCACCCCAGCCGTGCTCATCACCATCTGCTTCTACGTGGGAGGCTACTCCACGTCCTGGGGCAGCCTGGCGTGGCTGGTGGCGGCGGAGGTGGTGCCTCTAGAGACGCGCGCAGCGGGCTTCTCCCTCGGAAGTGAGTGCGGCCTATACTAATAGTAGCTTGATGGCTCATGGCCAGTTAGCTGGCTGCTACATGCAGCATCAGCAGATGGCTGGAGGCAGCCTTGCCGCCTGCCTGTGGCGTGGCGTGGGGGTGCATGCAGCGGGCGCACCGGTAGAGTGCCCTGTTGCCGGCTGGCTGGCCTGCCCCGCTGCACTCGCTGGCTGTTTACCATGCATGTTACCATGCTGCTTTGACCCCCTTTTTTTGCAGTTGCCATCTATTATGTCGTCACCTTTGTGCTGAGCCAGACGTTTCTGTCCATGGTGGGCCGGCACCTGGGCCGCGCCTGCATGCTTATAGCTGGCATTAGCTGGCATTAGCTGGCCCTCTGCCGCCGCTCCAGCCGCCGCAGCGCAACCCGGCCCCTGCTGCTTGCACTGCGCATGCGGGGCCGCTGTGGCCTGCCCACCACCTCCCCCAGCCGGTGCCAGGCCGCCGCTGCCGCTGCCACAGCTGCACTACCTGCCGGCAGTCCTCCTGAACATGGTTTCCTGGCCGCCCGCTGGCGCTGCGCTGCAGCTCTGCGCACTGGAGTGGGGCATATTTGTGTTTTATGGAGGCTGGGTGAGCCGTCTGAAGACTGCCGCACGAGTGGCGAGGCACCTGGCATGCCGCTGCGGGTCCCCTGTCGCCTGCCGCTGTGCTGCCACCGCCGCCACGCCGCCGCCGCCACCGCTGCCCGCTGGCCAACCCGCTGCGCCTGCTTGCCTTCCGCGACGCCGCCCTGCAGATCATTGCCATGTCGGCGTTTGTTGTGCTGCTGCTGCCGGAGACGAGGGGGGTGCCAATCGAGGAGATGTGAGTAGGGCCACACTGGGGGGCGTTGACGCGACGCTAGCGCTGTTCTTTTCGCGCTGCTTGGAGCTCGTTCCCCTGCCCATCTGCCCTTGTGCGAAACCTGCCTGCATGGCCGGCCGCCTGCTCCTGCTGCAGGTATGTTGTGTGGGCCAAGCATTGGTTCTGGAAGCGGGTAGTGGGCGAGGCGGGCCAGCAGATGCTTCAGCTGGAGCGCCAGCGCACAGCCACCCGCGCGCTGTCGCGGCAGGAGCGCGGCGCAGGAGCCGAGGCGGCCCCCGAGGCTGCAGGCGGCCACGGTGCGCTGGGGCCCAACAGGCCTGCCTGACCCGCTGCCTGACCCCCTGGCTACACTGCCTGCGCGCCTGCCATGCCGCTGCGTTGCCGTGCCCTGGCCTGCGGCGCTCGGCTGCATCATCTGCTTGTCCTCTGCCGCCTCAGCCTGGCATGACTGCGCAACCCCCATGCAGCAGCCGGCGGCGGTGCGTCGTTCAAGGATGGCAAGGAGGACAGCGCCAGCGACGGCTAGGCACTGTACATGTCGAGCCCGGGACCCCCCGACCCTCCCAGCCGGCGGGCTCACACTCACCACAGGCTATTTGAACAAATAAACATGCATCCAACCAGCGCATGCCGATGTGAACATTATGCGGCAACTGCTGCCACCCACGAGCATTCTTCATTTCCCCCTGGTTGCGGCACCCCGCCACACTGCACGCGCCACCTGCAGCGCACTTTCAGCACTTGTACATCTGCTGATCGCCTGCCACTTTCGCTTACTGCCTTTCATTCTTTTCGGTTCGCTAGAAAAGGACGAGCCTCCTCCTTTTGATGTGTAAATCAGGGCACCAGCTGTGTACCCAATTGCAAGCCGTGCGTGTTTACATGCATGGCTCAGCACACACAGGTGGGTTGGGCTCAGCACAGAGCAAAGCACACAGCAGCAACGCAACCAGCTGGGGTGGGGTGCCACGAGCTACAGCATGAAAACAAATGAGCATAAGGGAAGCCCGCCGGGGACAGGCACCGAGCTCGGCTCAGCCACGGCATCACCGCCGCCCCCTGCCGCGCGAATCGCTGCGGTCGCGCCGGCGCCTGTCCTCGCCGCTCCTGCCGGCGCCGCGCTCCCGCCTGTCCTCGCGGCTGGCGCTGCGCCGCTGCACGCGCTCCCGGCTGTCCCGCCGCTGCACCCGCTCGTCGCGCCGCCGCTCGGCAAGCTCGCGGTCGGAGCCGGGGCGGCCGTTGAGAGGCGGCTCCTCCCTGCCACCGGCGGCACCGGCGCCGCGCCGACGCTCGGCCGGCGGCGGCGAGCTGCGCCCGCCGCGCTCGGCCACCGGCGGCGGCGGCGAGCGGCCGCCGCCCTTGCTCTTGCCCTTGCCGCGCGCCGGCTCCTCCTCGCCCTCGCTGCTGCTGCTGCCGCTGCTGTCGTCGCTGCTGCTGCTGCCGCTGCTGGATGATGAGGACGAGGAAGAGCCCGAGCCGCTGCTGCTGCTGCTGCTGCTGGAATCGGAATCGGAATCCGAGGATGATGATGATGAGGAGGAATCGCTGTCGCTGTCGCTGCCGCTGCCGGCGGCGGCGGCGGCGGCCGCCTGCTGCGCTGCCAGCATCTTGGGCAGGTTCTTGAGCACCTCCCGCATGCTGTCGGTGAGGCCTGCGGGGCAGCAGCCAGGCGCAAGGCGGTGGTGGCGGCAGCTCCGGTGAGCAGGCTCCAATGGGAACAGGAAAGAAAGGAAAGAAGCAAAAGAAAGAATAGGATGAGGAGGGGAGGCGCAGGCGGATGGGAGAGGGCGAGGCCCGGCAGCCAGCCGCCGGCAGCGACAGCCGGAGCGGCATGCATGGCCGGCTGGCGGCCTAGGTGGCATGCAGCCCCAGCCAGCCCCCAAAGGGTCATGCGCGGCCCGTGCCAACCAAGCACGCGTGTGTGCCAGCCTCGACAGCCAGCCTCGACTGCCAGCCCACCCCCCGTGCCCGCACACGGCAGCAGCGCCAGCGCCCCCGGCACGGCCCCGCGGCGCCGCCCAGCGCACCTCCCAGGCCGATGGAAGTGAAGAAGTTGATGGCGAAGCGCATGTTGCGAGGGGAGTCCCGCGGGAACACGCCCATGAACCAGTCCTGCGGTACGGGAGGGGACGGTACTGTTGGGGCGGTACCATCAGCAGTACAGTTCAGCACGGCCACTGACGCCATCGGCAGCTGGACGCAAGCGTGCCGTGCAGCGTGCGGGTGCGGCGCACGGCCGGCGCACGCGGTCCAGGCCAGGCCAGGCCAGCAGCAGGGCAGGGGCTGCAGGCGGCGGGCCGGGCCGGCTGGCGGCCAGCCGGGCGCCAGGTTGGCGGCACCACACAGCACAGCATGGCTCGTCCCCCACCCGAACCCAACACCCGGCATGGCATGGCTGCCCCACCGGGCACCGCAACCTGCCCGCACCTGGCAGGTGGGGTCGTTGAGGCGCTTGTTCAGCTGCATCAGCCCCATCGTTTCAGCCAGCTCCTGCAGGCATGGCACACACAGGCGGGGAGGGAGAGCAGGCAGGGGAGGGGGGCAGTCAGAGGCTGCGACTGCTGCGGTGGGCCGTCGAGAAGAAAGCACGGGAAGAAAGCGCACGAGGCACACGGATCGGGGAGCGGCGGCGGCGCGCAGGCAGGGCACAGCGCCGCGGCAGGAGCGCGCTGCGTGGGGCGGCGTGGACTCCAAGCCGGAAACAATCGGCAGGCGCAGGCAAGCAGCAGGCACGCGCAGGCCAGCGCAGGCAAGCGGCAGGAGCGCGCCGGCAAGCGGCAGGAGCGCGCTGCACAGGGCAGCGTGGTCAGGGCAGGCGCAGACAGGCGCAGGCAGGCTCAGGCGCCGCGCCTGGAACAGGATCTTGATGAAGATGCGGGAGGAGGAGGTGGTGTCCTCCTCGGTGAGGCGGATGACCTGGCAGTGGGACAGGAGGGGGCAGGCAGGCAGGCGGGGTGGTTGAGTGGTGCGAGGTGTGTGGTAGGCAGGGGCAGGGGCAGGGTGGTTGGGTGGCGTGGAGCGTGTGGATGGCAGGGGGGCAGCAGGCGGGGTGGCCGAGTGGTGTGGGGGTGGCAGGGCAGGAGCCGCGCAGGCTGCGCCGTCCCCCAGATGCAGCCGCCGGCGCATCGCGGCGTAGGCCCCGCCACACCACCCCCCACCGCGCTGCCAGCTACCGCAGCAGCCCACAGCCCCGGCAGCCCCACCTGCATGACGGCCCAGGGTATGGCGTCTGTGGTCAGCAGGTGGGCAAACAGCTTGGCAGTGTTGCGCAGCTTGTTGGTCTCTAGCCTGCGGGGCAGGAGCAGAGCAGGAGCGGTGGCGGTCGCGTCAGCGGCGGCGTCGGTGGCGGCAGGCGGGGCGAGGTGGTTGCGGCGAGGGTATGTGCGGGCGTGTGCGGGAGTGGCGGGTGGCTGGGGAGGCCGCCGGGGAGGCAGCTGAGCGGCAGGCGAGGGAGGAGACGTGACCAGCGCACGCCCAGCCCAGCCCGCGCGCCCACGCCCAGCCACGCCCCACCCCCACCTGCGGATCAGCCGGTACTGCTGCACACCCGCATGTGACAGCTGGTACCGCTGCACACCCACCTGTGGATAAGCTGGTACTGCTGCACAAAGGCCTCCGAGAAGCAGTCGGCGTACTCGCGCTTGTACTTGCAGAAGCGCTCGCCCAGCAGCGCGTAGTACCTGCGGGGGAGGGTGGGTGGGCGGGTGGGTGGGTGCGTGGGTGACCGGAGGCGGCGGCTTGGTGCGCGAGGCGAGTGTCGTGCCATGCGGGGCCACAAGGCAGGCAAGGGAAGGGAGCGGCCGCCGTGCCACGATGGCACAGCCTCGGCCAGCCGTCGCCCTGGGCCTCCCGCTGCACCTCCCGCTGCACACCCCTCAACCCCGCCCCTCACTTGATGAAGGTCTTCTCATTGGAGCAGCACTCTATGATCATGGTGGTCAGCTCCATCTCCAGCCCGGCGGGGATTCCCTGCGGGGGGCGGAGGGCGGGCGGGCAGGCAGGCAGGGTGAGAGGGTGTGCAGCGGAGAGGGCCTGGCGGCAGCGGGGCTGGGGTGAGGTGGATGGCAGGCAGGCATGCAGGCAGAGCAATGTCAGCGCACATCCCCCAGCGCGCCCCGCTGACAAACCACGCCGACAAACCACCACACCAGCCCCATTGTGTCCTCTGCCTCTGCCCCCCCCCCCCC